TGTCAAGTCAAGAATCCTTTCCAAGCTGAAACCTCTGTAAAATAGTTAGCGAACACACAACAGGATACTATTCTGTACGACTCAATAGCAATCATGGAAGTGCGTATATAGCCTTATGATCGGAGATACGTTTAATTTGGTTTTGAAGTTTCTGGTAAATTAAAATACTATTTATGGGCCATGTGACACTCTCAAGAACCCAAGTATTGTAAGGATACCGAGAAGGTTACCTCTGGGGTGAAAATAGCTCTTTCCGAGGTTCTGTGCTGCGTGACAACTCCGATATACAGATTAATTCTGCTTCGGACTATAAGCTTACCACAATTTGTTCTGTTGACATAAGTCAGAAGCAGTTTTTTAAATATCAGAAACGGGTCTCTCCATGCGGTTGAAAATTCCCACAAAGTTATCATTGAATCTACTGACACCCTTCCTTCGTTCCATGGAGTTAGAAACTTCCTTCACTGAAGCTTGGAAGAGTTGCTTTACAAAAATTGACTGTGGCTGTTATTGGGCGACCTTCGTGTCGTCGCGTGTCAACAACCTTCACTCAAGGTGGAGTTCCGTTAAATCATTCTTTACAGGCCACTTCTGCGACTCAGGAGAGAATTCATGGTACGGTAGTTTTTCTGGTACCGAGGAACCTTCCTCCGGAAATAATTCTAGATTATCAATATAGCAACCGGTTCATGAGTTCCGGAAAGCTGTCGAGTTCAAGCGATTGTTCTGTCATCGAATGTTGATAACCCTTCTCGTGACATCACTCGAGATCGAAAATGGGGCAATCACTTCACTTATATATTACAAACCGTGGAGTGTTAACAGTTTATCCTCAAGTATCAAGAACTTTTTCTACAAGGTGGGCCAAAATTATGATTACAGCCGCTGCATTGCAATTTTTTTCTAAGTTCATATCATTCCGATCGCTTTCTTACATTTCACAAGATAAATTACATTATTCCCTTCCTTATGATACTAAACCTTTGGTAGGTTTAATCATGTAGGCGTCATCATCCCGTGAATTAATCAGCATTTACAAGCATCAGGTGCATCTACAGACGACCTAGTGTAAAAAGGCGAACTTGGGAGCCCTGACGTAGATCTCATGGATGTCTCAGTGCGGTCAGCCTTTGAGATGAGACCATCTGTTAACCGAACAAGAAGTGAAACAATCGCGGAAATGCCTTCCGAAAAGCGGGGATCAACTCGATGAATCAGCTGCATGCCGCTGTCAATGCCTTCCGTCGTTGTTTCTGAGGTTGGGTGAAAGCAGGAAGAGACAGATCCTAGTTTTAATGTGATATTTTGTTAATAGATTAGTGATAAACACTTTTGGAAATTAGTTCGTATTATTAGCTTTCTATCCGTTTTTGGGGATGTGATGCCTGTGTAATCATAATTTTGGCCCACCCTGTATACCAGCGGTTGAGACCAACAGAAATTCATCTTCAAACATCGACAGTTTTTTTGACCAGAACACTAATGAAGTAGACTTTTCATTTCATCCATTTTGCTGAAACCCGTGATGTGTTAATCATTTTGTCTCTGGGTAGGACAATCAGAATCCTCCGTGTACCGGTGGTGACCAGCCATGCTGCACCTCTTCTATTAGGTCGTGAAGAAAGTTCTTGCGGTTTTACGCCTCAAACTTCAAATGCATATATCTCGGCTTGAACGAAACTTCAACAATCGAAATAACAACCATTACTATCGACACACTTTTGTTAACGAAAAAGAAGTTCGAGTATCCATTCGCATAGAAGTCCGGAAATCTAGAGGCGATGAAATCGTCGAATGCCGCGGCAGCATCATGTTGGGTTTTGAAGCATTTCTCCTTGAGAAAGCGTCGAGACGTTTAAAGAAATGGTAGTCTATGGGAGCAAGGTCTGGGAAATATGGTGGATGCGGGAGAGCTTCATA